CCAGGCAAACAACTGCCAATGCACAGTGGGAAAATTATACACACCACCGGACAAATTTTTCTGAAATACATTTAGATTAGTTTGACAAATATAAAGTCCAGTCCAAGTCCACAAAGAAATCAGCTTGTGCACCCCTTGGGAGGTCCTGCTGTCTGTGAGGATGTTGACCAACCTCATCAAGTGAATTTCCTTAAACTGAGAAACCGTTAAAGCTGTGTCCCATAATTACTTTGCTTCTTGTTTACAAGTGTGAAGGTCAGAGGCATTCTCTGCTATTGGAAATGTGCAAGTTCCGGGGGTAGCACCCTGTATGACTGTGTCTGTGAAGTTTTCCAGGTTTAAAAGGAAACCAAGCTTCCCCATCCATTGCAACCCTCTGGCTTGGGGACTGGATGACAGCAGATGAATTTTTAATATCCATTTTCAGATTCTGAGTTGTCCCCCGTGCTCAGCCTGTGCACGCAAACTAGTTGCAGCTCAGCCTTCGCACGCAAACTGTTTGCACTCACCTTCACGATGATGTCCGGTTACCAACCTTTCCCCCAGGGGCCTCTGAGTGGCCAGTTGTCACTGGCACCAGCATGGATCCCATCTCTCTCACTTGATCTATGGCAACCAGCAGGACAACTAGGAGAACATTGTGATTGGGGCAGGATTGGGACAATGAGGGGATAGTTTAGATTCAGAGCATGCCTCAACCCTGTGGAGATATGATAGTGATGCTGTGTGGCCTAGCAGAACCCTGCAGGGAGAGGAGGCCGACCTAGTTTGGCCCCTATGGGGCAGGCACCATGGTTGCCCTGAGGCCAGGGATGGGCTTGGTTCTGGTGTCTGCTCCCTTGTACTTCCCTTGGTTGCAGTCAAGGAGAAAAGGCTCAGGGAAGGTAGTCAAATATTTTGGCCCTCCAAAAGTCACATGATGTTAAGGTCTACATATAAGGTAAGATATCAAAATCCATAGATGTTCTTTTTATTATTATTCCTATTACTACTACTATTATTATTAATTCCATGCCTGTATTGGGACTTGAACTCAAATCCTCATGCTCTTGCATGGCTTTTTTCATTTAAGGCTGGTGCTCTACTGTATGAGCCACACTTCTACTTTCAGCATTTTGCTGGTTAATTGGAGACAAGAGTCTCTTGGGTTTGTCTCACCCAACTAGCTTCAAACCTCAATCCTTAGATCGCAGCCTCCTGAGTAGTTGAGATTACAGGCAGGAATCATTGGCACCTGGCTCAAATTCCTTATAAAGAGGTATGTAAATACAATCTGTACAATTGTCACATTTACTTTTACTCATCTCTAGATGAGTAAAATGCCATGCAAATGTTATGTAAATAGTTTTTAGTCTGTGTTGGATAAGGAATCATGACAAAGGATCAAAGCTTGATGTAGATGGATGAATACTCAGACATAGAACCCATGGATATACCCAAGACTGTGACTATATTTACAAAATAAGACTGTTTTCAACTAGATGCAACAAGGAACCCCACAGATTGCTTTCCTTCTCAGCCTTTCCTTCTTAGAGCCTTAGCTCTGGGACTTTGCCGTGTTGTGTTAGAGATGAAGCACTTTGGAGAAGCAGCTAACTAGGGACCCACACAGGGCTGGCCTGGTTATATAGCTGTCTCTTTAGGTACTTTGGTGTCACAAAGCAGCTCAACTTCCTTTGGTGGGTCGATCCCAAAAGTTGCCGTTCTCAGGGAGCTTCTGTCTTTGGGGAATTGGAAGGAAAGAAAAGAGGCTCAGGACTTCTGGGGGCTCCAGAAGCAGAAATGTAAGCTGCTTCTGCTGGCATTTTGAGTATGTGATTACTACAGAATAAATGCCAGTAGTGAGATTTATTTCTTACTGACTCTTACATTTACCATTGAGGATAATTTCTAACATGATGATGATGGTGATGAAGATGATGATGATAATTTATTTTTCCATTTGCTGGAATTTATTTTGATCAAATATTATTTTATACGATCAGAGGTCCAGAGGCATTGCACCTTTGGGCTCCTCCCCTTAGTGATGTTGATAATTTTAGAACTAGAAATGTAGCTCAGTTAAGAATTTGCTCAGCATATGTGAGGGACCAAATTCAATCCCTAGCACCATAAAAAATTGATAGCATGGACGTGAAAGATGGAAGTATGAAGAGCCATTCTCCTCAAGATTAACTTTGACAGCTAAAAATACAGGAACAGCGTGAGTGCGGCCATGTTTATAAGCTCAGAGGTGATCTGAGACATCAAAGATGGCAATTAGCTCTCATTCACTGCACTGGAAGTAAGTTTTGCTTTTTTCCTTCCAATTTCTCAAAGACAGCATGCTTTTTGTGTTAATAGTATTGAGGAAAAGAAAGAGGAACTTTTAGGTAGATGGATATAAAAAGGTCTGGCTATAACACATGGTAGATAACATGTAACTTCCATCATGGTGCTGTTTCTTTCCATAATTCACTGAGTCCCACCCAAACTCTTCTTCCCACAGTGCCATGTGGGTCCACTAAACCAATGAAAAGAGCCAGGGCAAGTGAAGATTCCATTGGACCCTTGTTTTGGGGGCCCCTCTCTACCAAGAGTCTCTTTCAAGTCTGTTGACTTGCCTTGTGCTCTCAAATAAACTTGTTCTGGCTGCTTAATTCTCCCTCTTAATTCTAACTAGCCAAGACACAAGTGAACCCTACCCCTGGATGGTATCAGGGTCAACATCTGGTGTATCAGCACATTCATTAAAGCACTGGACTGTTTTTATAAATTCACCAGCTACCACAGTGAATGACAAACAGTAACTGTGGGCAGAAGTCTACTTAGGGCCTAGGCTATGTCTTTCAGTACAGAGGGAGCCATTTTTATTTTGATTTCAATACAGAAGATGTTGAAGTGCACCATCAACATTGATTTGCCTGCAACATGCAAGAGAGTTTTCTAGAATACCATAGACTCTGATCTCATAAAGGCAGACTATAAGAAGCAGTAACAGCAATAAGTCACATGACTTCACATCCGTTCTATGTGACATCACACTGAAATCGCTGATGACTTGTCAAGAGAAGGAAGTTTTCATTAAAATAGGCACACCTGCTGTTACTAATCAGGAATATTTAGATTTCTCTTAAACACCTATGTATCCACAAAGGCAGTGCCATCCTAGGTCTTGGTGGATCAGGTACTAAAGTGGCTGCTATTTTCTTTATTTTTGTTTTTATACCAGTGCTAGGGCTTGAACTCAGGGCTTGAGCATTGTCACTCAAGGCTGATAATACTCTATGACTTGAGCCACAGCTCCACTTCCAGCTTCTTGGTGGCTAGTTAATTTGGAGCTAAGAGTCTCACAGACTTTCCAGCCTGGGCTGGCTTCAAACCTTGATTCTTAGATCTCAGCCTCTTAAGAAGCTAGGATTACAGGAGTGAGCCACCACCTCTTTCTGAATTGTTTTATTTTGATCCCTGATGCTTTGGGAAACAAAGAATGTGACAGGAAGAAAGCACACTGGAAATAATCAGTGTCAAAGGGAGGAATGTGCCTCTGTTATATAAAGCATGACCAAGCAATCACTAGTCTTCTGTCTATGGGTGCAGGTCTCCCAGAGCCTCCAGGAGGTGACAGTGGTCCCAGGAAGATGTCTGCTCACTTAGGAGCCCTTAACCTCTAGGGTCTCACCTTCCCTTCTTCAAGCCTCAGCATGGAAGTCCAGTTACCATAAGCCTTCCTAGATTTTGCTCTCAACCCAACAGAGCTCCAGGTTCTATCTGTGTGCACAGCATCTCCTGTTTGCCTGATCAGAACTTTGTGGGCAGGATCAGGGGTGTGAGCTTCCTTCTTGATGCACAGGAAAGCAGAAGAAGACTGGTGAGGAACTGCCTCATGACTAAATGAATCATTCTGGATATGGAAGGGTGGAAGGTGAGAAGAAGCAGGGGGAGAATGACAGTGGCATACACTAAACTTTAGCCATGGAGATGGTATGAAGTCATACTGGTGGGGGGCAAGGCACATGTTGCAGGAGACCTGCCTAGATATTTAAAGTCAGAAATCCTTGTGGGGGCTCACACCTGTAACCCTAGCTACTCAGGAGGTTGGGATCTGAGGATCACAGTTCAAAGCCAGCCCAGGCAGGAAAGTCTGTGGCATCCTTACTTACAATTAACAAGCAAAAAGAGAAAAGCAGTGCTGTGGCTCAAATGACTGCCTTGAGCAGAGGTGCTCTGTATTGACATCACAACCAAGAGTCACCAGCATGGCTAATCTAAATGGAGAAAAGGGACCTGAGCACATTCAGCTCCACTGCCAGTGAGAGGTTGTTGTGCTATTGTAAGTCTGATTTCTATCACAAGTGAGTGAGTGATTGATTTCCCATCACACATTTCCCAAGGATTATCTCTTTTAAGGAAAACAAACAAGCAAGCAAAGATCTTGCTTTGATCACTCCTGTCAGGCTAGAAGAGATGTTGGAGGCTGGAAAGAATGTGACTTTGTGGGTTGTTCTTTTTTCACATATAAAACTTTGCACTTAGGAACGTGTAAACAGAGTAAATAATGTAAGTCCCTGTTTTGTCTTTTTAATTCTTAAAATGACAAACCACAGGAAGTTCTTTGTCTCCACTTACTTCTGGTGAACACTTTTGCAAGAGACTGTTCTCATATATGTAGCTAAAACCGTCTCAATGCACACACACACACACACAGACCAAAACAAAACAAAACCACATAGGCTTAGGCCTATGTAGCTCACACCTGTAATTCTGGCTATTCAGGAAGCTGAGATCTGAGGATTGCAGTTCGAAGTCAGCCTGGGCAAGAAATTCCATGAGGCTCTTATTTCCAATAAACCACTAGAAAACCAGAAGTGGCACTGTGGCTCAAGCGGTAGTGTGCTCGCCTTAAGCTGAAGAGTGCAAGGACAGCGCCCAGGCCCAGAGTTCAAGCCCCATTACTGGCACAAAAAAAAAAACAAAAACAAAAATGAAAAACCTAACCGTGTCTTTTTCTTTTCTTACAGGATACCCAAAGCAGAGGACCACCGCTCCTCGAAATGGGTTTGCACCCAAGCCTGACCTGCAGGCCCGAGAGGCAGAACGGCAGCTGGTCCAGCGGCTGAAGGACAGGTGTGAGCGGCAGGCGCGGCAGCTCAGCCTGGTCCAGGGCGAGCTGAGGAGGGCCATCTGTGGCTTCGACGCCCTGGCCATATCCACTCAGCATTTCTTTGGAAAGGTGAGAGCACATTCATGAATGCCACAGGGTTTCTCCTTTCCCCAAAGAGGGTGATGGTGCTGGCTACTGGGAGTCAGAGCGTAGAATTGAGCTTGGATTTTCAGAAGTCATCTGAATCTCCTGCAGCATTGTAGGGCATGGGAACCAAGTTTATACTTCAAAGATTCTAGTTTGGGAACAGTAATAAACAACCGTTATCCCTACAGAGGAGATATTGTGTGTGTGTGTGTGTGTGTGTGTGTGTGTGTGTGTGTGTGAGAGAGAGAGAGAGAGAGAGAGAGAGGAAAGAAAAGCATGTTTGAAGATGGGATCGATGGAGGAAACGGAGCATGGGCTGGTCATTCTCAAGGGCAGATGGGCAGATGCTGGCATTTCTGCTCACATCCCATGAAAGCCAGTCAGGGCCACAACACGGATGAAAATGGGATGTACAGTCCAGCGGCTCCCTGAAGGCCCCTGTTCACATTTCAGAAAGCAGATGGGGTAAGGTGAGGCTCCCTTGTATCTTCAGTTTCTCTGAAAATGCAAAGAGTGTTGCTCTATTGTGAGCGAATGTCTGGGGCTCCTGAGAACTGCTGGACACTCCGTCTGTGATTAGACATGGGCCTTTAAAGCCTTTCAGTTTCTCACTGTCACCAGGCCCTGGCAAAGCCGGGCATCTGACTGTATTAGCACGCCAGTTTTAGGTTCTTGGGGGTAGGGAGGTGAAAAGAAACATTAACCTAGAATATGTAAATAGTTTAGATGGGTTGGTGCATATTTTTGTTGCTATAACAGAATACCCAAGACTGGGTAATTTATTTAAAGAGAAGATTCATTTTGGACACACAGATCTGGAGACTGGAAAGTCAAAAGCTTGGTAGCGTGCACTAGTTTAGATGAGCGCTGTGTGTGGAGAAAGAGAGGGGGACAAAGGAACCCAGCCCCTTTGTAGCAACCAACTCTCTCAAGAGCTCAAATGGTAGAGTGCCAGCTTTGAAACAAAAAGCCAAGCAAGCGCTCAAGGCCCTGAGCTCAGCACACATACACACAGAGGGCTAATTTAGTCCCCCAAGAAGGAATCTAGTCTTGAAATAAAGACATTAATTTGTCATAATGACCCCATCTCCCAATGCTAACACGTCCACTGCCAAATTTTAACATGAACTGTGAGAAAGTGTAACCACACCTCAACCATCCAAAGAGCAAGCATTGTGGGTTTCACTGGTGAGCCTTCTGGGAGACAGTACAAAGTGAACCAAAGGTCTGACTAATTGAAACAAGAGAAACAGAAGAATATTAAATAGCACCCTGTCCACTGGATTCTTCTTTTATCTACTGAACCTTGAAGTAGGGGGGAGTCTTCCCTTTTTTATATCCTTACCCCTCTCCTTGTGCTCTCTAATATAGAAGCGTGAGTTAAGGTTTTTGTAATAATTTGGTTTTAATTTTTGTGCCAGTACTTGGGCTTGAACTCAGGGCCTCACAATTTGGCTTTGCTTTTTTGCTCAAGATTATGGCTCTACCACTTAAGTAGCAGCTTCACTTCTGATGTTTTGCTGACTACTCAGAGATAAGAGTCTCTTAGATTTATCTGCTCCATCTAGCATTGAACTATAGTCCTCAGACCTCAACCTCCTAAATAGCTAGGAATATAGGCATGAGCCACTGGTACCTGGTTTCTCATACTTCTTGTTGTGTTTCGTTGAAAGCTTTCAGCAGAAGGAGCCATTTATCAATGTCTTGTTGTAAAGACTGACAAGTTAAATAGCACCAAAATTTTCAGCCTCCTTCCCAACCAAACTTTAATAACAAGAATAAATTACCAGTGTGGATTTAAATCTTTCTTTCTGGTCTAGTCATGTTGTTGTCAATCATGAGTGACAAGTGCCCATACTCCACTTCCTGCAGGATTAAACTTCTATACCCATTTTTGAGGTACCAAAGAAGCTTGACTTGCCACAGTAAACATAGACACCTTTCTTTTTGGAGAAAGAATGGCATGACTTGTCCATCTGATGCATATTTCCCATGGCCTGTCCAGCCTACAATAGAGATGAAACTAGCATTCACTTGAGTTCAGTAATCACAATCCCACTGCTCTGCCCACCATGACCTTTTCACCCATCACCCATGGAACCATACCAACCTCTTGATGAAGATTTCAGGTAGGAAGGTATGTCAATGGGCACTGAATGGACATTAGCTATTATATATTGTGCTTTACAAGTCAGAACCTCTGGACCACTTATGGTATTATGGCAGGTGACTTCCAGTGTCAATATTAAGGGTTGGTTCCCCATAGTTTTACATTTCTGTGCCTGAGACAAACTCATTTGGATCATGAACCGTGAGCTTAATTTCTCTCTAGCATGTCCCTGGCTCCTACATCAGAGACTCAAAAGGTCTAATAGGTAAGCTAGACACTGATAGCTCTTGCCTGTAATCCTAGCTGCTCAAGAGGCTGAGATCCTAGGAAGTTCAATGTTTGAAGCTATCCAGACAAGAAAATTTAATTATCTTCAATGAACCATCAACCATTGTTATATCCATAACCATTGGTTATCTCCAGTTAACCATCAAAAAGTTGCAAGTAGAACTGTGTCTCAAGCAGTAGATGGCTATCCTTCTAACAAAGAAACTAAGGGATAGTGCTCAGGCCCTGAGTTTAAGTCCAGTACTGGTATGAAAAAAAAGGTCTAGCAATTGATGTGTAGGCATCTCCTCCCTACAACAGAGCAGTGTTTTGCATCATCTGTCAGCAAGATGGATCTGGACATGTTTTGCTTTGACTTCCCAGTCAATCACAACCACCAACTCCACACAGGCATCAGACAGGACTGTGGTGCTCCACTCACCCCATACTGTGCATCCTTTCCTGTCTTCCTGATTTCTGCTCTGTCTCCAGATAAACCCAGGGGTGAGAGGAAGCACATGGTCTAAACACACACACACACACACACACACACACACACACACACACACACACACAGAGTCTCTAATTAGCCAGATGTCAGTGGCTCACCCTATTATCCTAGCCACTCAGAAGGCTGAGATCTGTGAAGCCAGCATAATGGGAAAGTCTGTGAAAGTCTTATCTCTCAATTAACCAGCAAAAAGCCAGAAATGGAGCTGTGGCGCAAGCACTAGAATGCCAACCTTGAATGAAAAAGCTAAGGGACATACCCAGGCCCTGAGTTCAAGCCTCAATACACATGTGCACACACACACATACACACATACATACACATACACACACACACACACACACACACACACACACACACAAGTCTCTACTTGAGCAGCAGCCTCTACACAAGTTGTCAGGTGTTTGGTCTTTCAGCAACACCACTGTAGACCAGGAATTCTGAGTGGGACTCCAGACATAGAGGCAGATGCCTTGGAACCTCTAATAGTGGTCTTCTGAGAATCAAGGACCAGGCAGCCTGAGGGGCCCATGTTATTGTGTGGAAAACAGATGGCCTATCATGAGAAAAATGGTCAGCCATGAGGAAGTATACCCAGTCTTCTGTGATTAGAAGACCTACCAGAACTCCATCCATTAAGGAGTCCACATGTGCCATTTTTACTTTGTACTGTCTTCATCCAGAAATCATGGAGGAGTAAGAAGAGGTTCAGGGTTAGTCAGGTATAGCAGCCACCAATGCCTCCACCCAGCAGTGGGGTCAGGAGCAAGTCCCTGCCCCTTGTGAGCCTGTCATCACACTAAGGAAAATAACAACATCATCCTCGCTGGGCTCCCCACGGCTGAGTGCCCTCTGACCTCTTTAAGAGTCTCAACTTCTTACACCTGAAATAGGATGAGAGTTCTTCACTAGGGTATTATGTTGATATATCAAGTTAATGCACAAAGCCACTAGGAGCAAATACTCAATAAACCTTCTTTTCTGAGCACAAGGAAATGAGACAAGACATATTGTAAGAACTCTACTCTCAAGCAGGTTTAGACACAGAAGAATTTATTAGTCCATATAAAGGGAACACTCAGTCCAAGACACTTGGGATTTATGTTACAGGTCAAACATTCCTCATGGGAAAATCTAAACTTTGGGAAGTGGGGGTGTGGCTCAAGTGTCATATCACCATACTTGAGCAAATAAACAAGCAAAGCAGTACCACCACGAAAGAAAGAGGGAAGAAAGGAAGGAAGGAAGGGAGGGAGGGAGGGAGGGAGGAAGGGAGGGAAGGAGGGAAGGAAGAAAGAGAGAGAAAGAGAAAGAAAGAAAGAAAGAAGAAGGAAGGAAGGAGGAAGAAAAAAGAGAAGAAAGAGAGGGAAGGAGGGAAGGAAGGAGGGAAAGAAAGAGAAGAAAATAAAAAGGAAAATCTGAACTTTGAAATAGTCAAAACTCTGGCAAGTTTTGAGTATTGACAGGACACAAGTGAATATTTAGTGTCAAGGCACACTAAAATTATTATGTAAAGTTGCTTTCAGCTTATAAATAGAGGTTTACATGAAATATTAGTGAACTTCATGTTTAGATTTGGATTTTGCCCCCAACTCATATGTATAAATAGAAAACAAAAACAACAACAACAATAATAATAACACCTGAAACCCAGAATAATCTGAAACATTTCAAGTAAGAGATGCTTCCTGTACATTGAGAGTTTGGCCTAGAATCTGATTTAAGAATAGAAATGTGTTTAAGAATAGAAATAAATTTTTCTACTCTAGCTTTTCAGTTGTTCTTGTATTTGTTTTCCTGAGTGTGCTGGACCTTTAAGGACATGCTAGAAATAAGTCTCCTCACTAGAGAAAAGCATAAAAATCCAGATACGAATCTTCCATTGTGGCCTCACACTTAAAGCCCCTGACAGAGAGGCTGTGAAAGCTGTCAGCCCCAACACAGCTTCAACCCAGCATCCAGAGACAAATCTAAGATGCCACCTTGAGGTGCTAACTTGGCCTCATGCTTACTCTAGCCCCGGGCAGCTCTGCCCATACAATTAAACATGTTCCTCAGTAAGCCAAGCAGACCTGCCAAAATCTGTGGTCCCAG